TGAGGGGGAGGAATCTGGGCCCTGATTCAAAAGATTCGCCATGCTTTTTGAGATGTCTTGCAGCTGTTCCTTACCCTCTACATGCGATTACATTCTCTTATGCTTCTTGTCCTATCTTTCTCGAACGTCTCTTTATTTACATTTACGAGATAATCCGATCACAGATTCATATTCTTAGAATCCTGACAGCAAATCGTATGCAATTATTTGCTTATATATAATAACATGTATGAAGTGTTGCATCATAAATGACTTAATTGTATTTACCAGTACAATATCAACACAATAACTATCGCATTTTAACAGTTGTCAGAGTTTCGTAATTATTTCTTTAATTTTCATAATTACATAGTTGTCTAATAAATATCTTTAAATATAAATATATACATGACCGAAATAATAAATAAATAAATTTAAAATAATATATACCTAAATAGCGAATAAATTAAATTTAAATAAGTTAGAAAAATAAGTATGTAGGGTATATGTCAAAATTATGCAAGGATAGAATATTTTGGCAACTTCACTACCCTCGCAATTTTTCACTTGCGAAATTAACACAGACAGGTGTTGGGGACCGGAAGAAAGGATTCAGCCAAAAGTCCGGAATAAAACACAGATTTCGAAAGGAATCGCGAAGGCGGAGAGGAGATCGGAGAGCAGAAGGGGGAGGAGGATAGATTGTCGGCGATCGCAACAAGACGAGGGTTCGCCAGCCGGTTAGTCGGCCGGGGCTCAATCGTTGCTGCTACTCAATCGGTTCCCGCTGCACGACTGACTCCTTCTGCTACCGAGGATTTCACCCCGCAGGACCTTCTGGGCCGACAGAAGGTCTCCATCTTCCTCCTCCTTCCCGCTCATCGGAGGCGGACGAGAAATACGAACGTGACGATGGCTGGGAAAGGGTAGGGCGAAAGAGCTTCACAAATCTCGCGTCATGCCAGGAACAGGAGGATCCCGCGCACCCCTTTCTTTTATTAAGCTCGGGGAGAGAGCTATTCCCGACGCCAGACGGCGTACAGCAAGAGGGTGCCAGAGAATCCTAGCAATCCTTTCCGTCCGGGAAGAGAAACGCTGTCACTGCACATTTTTACGATCTTCCCACTCGCATCATTCTTTTTTTTTTCTTAATCTACATCCGCCCACTGGATTTTACTCGTGCTTATTTATACCTACGTGAGATTAGTTCGTAAAATCTCATCTTGGAATAATAAGGCTTAATATGAAAATATGAAATGTATTTATCATACAACTTCTCATTTTACGCTTTCCAATTTACGCTTTCAACATTGTAAGACTCATCCTTTTTGACAAGATATCTCTCTTATTATTTTTGCAATTATCCTATATCAATGTTAAATTCTTTCCAAATTTTGTTATTGAGAGAGAGAGAGAGAGAGAGAGAGAGAGAGAGAGAGAGAGAGAGAGAGAAAATAGGTTCGTTAGATTTGAGTTGCGAACGATCAGAATCGATCGATTTGATTTCTCACACAAATTGCCGAACCGACATCATGAATTCCCAATATCACCTACTACATGCAAAAAGGTACTTGGGAGCATCTGTTGCATCGTCCATCAAGCACTACCACCATCATCATCACTGACACCACCACCAGAAGGCACCGTCACTACCACCGGCCCTAACAACCACCAGGTGCTACTCACCTTCCGTGTCTCTCTCCCCATCTTCGAAAGAAAAAAGGAAAGAGAAAATCTTCCTCCCTCCCTCTAGAAATCGGGATTCTCTTTCTTTTTGTCTCTCTATCTCTCTTTTTCTCTTTCCTGCTTTGGCTTTATTCCCTGAGATTTCCACCATCTGCACCTTCACGCCATATCCCTCGCTTCCTCCTCGTCCTTTTCGCTGCTCCTGCACGGTCCTCGTCTCCGTTGCGCGCATGCAGAAGGCGTGTTCCTTCGTCCCCACTCTCAAACTGACTCCTTCTCGTCCTTCTCATCCTTCTTGTCCTCTCCGTCATCGTCGTCGTCGTCATCGTCGTCATCTTCGTTGTGGCCACCCTCTGCTCGACATGCGGTTGGTGCTTCCTCTGGCGTATCACGTCGTCACCACATGCGTGGATTGCTGTTTGCATACGCATAATTCGAAGCTTTAACACTAGGCAGTCGAGATTGGTCGATAAGAAAAAAGATTTTAATTCTCCAGAAAAGAGGAATTAATCGGCTTGCAGATTTAATACGTGCTATTTCTAATAAATTTACACATAATTACTCATCGACATCAATTTATCCATTAAAACATGTTTCTAATTAAGTTTTCTATTTTAGTTAAAATATTCTACAAAAGAAACTGTGAAAAAAGTATTATATTAATTTTAATTATAAAGATTTAAAATTACCGTTCTGTATAAGATACATTGATGTCACATCGTTATTAAAATAACGCATTCTCATTGCCATTTGTATGACTATTATTAGTATGATAGTCTACACTCTACTTTATCTCTCCAACCATATTATTTCTTCTCAATTACCCGTTCCTTCGGCGTTACGGCGTCACGAAATATTTTTGACATGATATTTTTCGAGAATTTACTTCGAAAAGCATTTGGCGATATAGTTGTGACAACCTAATGTGCTTAAAGTACATACTCGGTTGATTCTTTTATTTGGGATGTTGCAACCGGGGTTAGCAATATGCGGACAAAATGCGTTAATGGGACGTACTATTGTATGGCTGAAGTAAAGGGACAAGAGAGAGAAGGGAAGGAAGCATCAATTCGCGTTCTCTTATGATACCATGGGAGCAGGTACGTGGCCCCATTGTAATTATGGTCAAATGAAGTGAAATATGCAGATATGCCTCCCTGCGCGAGATACCGGCGTTTCATAATTATTCGTGATCATGCAAATGGAAGGAAATGGCGAAAAGTGTTCCTTGGAACGATATTATCTTAACGATGTTATACATTGCTCTTTTTAAAAAGATATTCAACTAAGCTTAATAAAATTAAAACTGATTATTCGTAATGATCATTTATAATTATATATCATTCTTATGGTATTTATATATATATATATGTATAAGTTTAATTATAACAATTCACAAAGTGAAATATTATTTATGTTGAAGTGATTTAGATTTTGAGGGTCTTACATTATCGGCTTACGTGCTTATAAACTTGTGTGCTCTCCTTCCCCTAAAATTCATCGCGTTATATTATAGCGAACGATTATTGTGTACGCACAGCTCCCCTTTATTATATTTAAGTTAAAAAGTTCCTACTTTCACAGCTGCTCCGTTTATACCATTGGAAAGTTGTTTATACTCTCGCTCGCGCGCGTACTCCCTCTCCACGAGCGTATTATCACTGGAGATGGATGAGCCTGGCGAAACCCGGGGGGAGAACAGTTTTGCAGGACCGGCAGAAAACTCGGGCTTTCGTAACAGTAGTGTATCTACAGTTTGCGCAGGTGATGCAACCGCGTCGTTCAGATATTTTCATAGCGTACACATGGCGCCGGAGTTGGTAGGGGGCGATATCTGGGAGAAATATGTAAATTGTGCGACGCAATGTAATTTTAGAAACCCCGCGACGCCGCGCCGGCGATATTCTCTTATCTAACTATTATACAACGTGATCCAACTTCGAGAATACTTCGAGAAGAATCGGAAAATAATGCACAATTAAAAATTACAATAATAAACACAACGTTGTTGCTTATGGTATTAAAAATATTACTCCATTAGGGCGAAGAAATGAAGATGAAGAGACATTGTGATACTCAGAAAAAAAAAAAAAAAAAAGTATAGGTACAAATTCTTTTGACAGAGCGGTAATTTTTAACTGCAAAAAATAGCGAAGTGAAAATTAAGCGAGAAATAATTGCTCGCGAAACGCCTGTGATGCGGCCGGTGCGGGCACCTATCGAGAAATCGATTCTTTCCAGTAAACAAGAGTTATGCCCGGGCTTTCTAACGAGCGTAATGTTTCGAACCGAAACTTTCGTTTCTCAATGGCAATTAGCCTCGAACGTTACATGCTATTGATGAGAATATCCCATTGTTTCGTTTTTTTTCGCTTCTCTCGATCGATGTTCCGCACGAAAGGAAATGCCGGATGCAGCGAGATTTTTATTTTCGGCAGGCTGACAATGAGATGGAAAGTGCGCGGATTTCAACTATCCTCTCTCCCATTCCGCCACACTTTTTTGGCAAAGTTTTTACAAGTCTTCGTAAATTACAGCGACAAAACTACCATATCGTGACATAATTGCGTATTTCAAACGTGCATTTAACTAAATTGATTTATTATTACATACTTTGTAATGACTGTAATTTACGTAGATATTCTCGCAAAGCGAAAGCAATAATTGATAATTTTAGATCGATTGATAATTTGAATAACATTGTAATCACCTTAAATAACCGTATGCAAGAAAGTTACGGCAAGGAATAGAAAATATCGTTTACCAGCACCATATGTGGAGAATTATATGTATTAGAATTGACGCGTTTTTACTCATGTTTCGCAAAATGGTCGATGACGACTGGGATGAGAGAGAGAAAGAAAGAGGCGATATGCAGCTTGCTCGCAGGTCCAAACTGCATCGGCAGCAAGCGGCAGCGTCCCACGGTTTTCGAGGTTCAGCGGGGTTAAAAGGAATTACATTATCGTGAAGCGTTTGGGCGTGGGAGCAGAGAGCTCTGTGCGAAAGGATCCTACGCCGGTTGATGCACCCGCGACTGCCTTCTTGCGTGCTCTCGTACGCGTCTACCCAGTAGAATTGTATTTCGACCGATTGTATACATGGACAAAGCATCTGAAGAAAGAGAATCTGAAATTTTCTTTCAAAATTTATAAGTTTTCGATATTGCAATTTATTATCTGGCAAATTCTATGTATTAGCCGAACAAAACACGTGAAATGATATTTTAAAGAATTTTTCCATGTGTCTTTAGCAATCGTGCATTCCGTAAAAGGGATCAAGATTTTTCTATATATTTCCTTTTAGTTCGTTCGATCTCTTTGTGAAAATTGCAGAGAGTGTTTTGCCGAGATCCTTAACGCCCTCGCGTTCATGCTTCGCCAAATCTATATCCGATGCCAGATTGTACTCTTTCACGAACACCGGTCTCCAGAGGGAACAGATGAACCGATCCGCTTGCAGGTAGCTCGTACGCAACGCAGCAGGTGAGCATCGTGCAGCGATCCTGCGCGCGAAATCGCGTGTGTAACTCCCGTACGAAGCACTTATGAACATTTTTCACTTCAATTCCTTGCGATCGAATGAGGAAGTAATAACGCCGAAGTGATAAAGCGATCGCACTCTCGGAAAGCTTCGCTAATAACAGAGTAAGCGATACATTCGTTGCCATACGACACACAGTGGAATCGTATCAATGACAGTTGCGATCTATTAATGTCGAAAGTACACAAAATAATTAAAGATTATATTCAACCGTGAGATACCGTGCCAAAAATATTAAATTAAATAATATATTAATAAATTGATTTGTGTAATAAATGCGCTACTTAATAGCTGTAAAATTACGTTAATTCGTTATACATATCGCGATCACATATATTTATTAAATTATTTTTACAGATAGTCAAATAAATATTCCGTATAATTGTGTACGAAATGGTAGAAAAATACTTGCAAAAATGCATAGAAAATATGAAGAATCAATGTCACCGCGAACGGTATGAAACCGTCGTAACGTCCGGAGTCTTCAATTTCATTCAAAATTGTTCTCTCGAGGGAAGAAACGTTCCCTCTCGCATGATGTATAAGAGGAGAGAGTGGAAAGATGCTTGGTGACCCGATTGTAAAATGGGTCCGCGGACTTAGACGTGCGTATACCTGACACGCATATGCGCCGTGCGCTTATTCGCGATTCACATTTTCGGCTGTTGCGTAGTAGCTGCACTCACACGACGAAACGGTCAAAATACGTACGCGTATGCATGCTCACACACGGACGAGTAGTCAGGTAGTAAGATGGGTAGGTGGTAGGTAGGTGCATACGCGCAGCGTGGGAAGGTCCGGCAGCTGAGCGAGCTGAAGGGGCCCCAAAAAGCGAGCGGCTGCAGCTTCTTCTTCTTCTTGCCCCGGAGCCGCCGCTGGCTTCTGCCGGTCGGATCGGTTGGTCCTTCCTTCATCTATCCGTGGGAGCCTGTTGCCTAGACACCCGGTGGCTTCCTTTCTCTAGGACGCAAGTCTGCAAGGCGATTCCTTAGGATGATCGTGAAAAAGCGAGAAAAATTGTAGACAAAAGCCGAACTGTCAAAATATAACGTCTCAATTATCGGATCCTGACCGGCAGATGTCTTGTTGCGGCCGGTTTCTTCCATAACGTTTGCGGAATTATATTTAAGATTATTAACAAATAACAGATGAATTATCCTCATCGACATTTAATTTAATATATTTTAAAAATTACATACTTTTTTAATCGATTTTTCCGTCTAACAAAATGAAATGTACGAGAGGCTTTTGGAGGAACGTGCGCATTTTTAAGATTGAAAATTGGGATTATATTAAAATTCAAAGAGAGATTTTGGTAATAAACCTCAAATTCGCGTAAAAAGGCACCCGGTGATTTTTTCCGATCGCAGATGCGAGGCATTTCGGTGAACGATGATGGCAGCGACGACGACGATCACGGGCGACATCCTGTCCCGCGAGATGAAAAGCCGTGCATTCGGTGAAGGTCTCATTATTAATTGTTCAAGTTCCTGTTCAAACAGAGAGATTAAATCCGAGGGGGACTAATCCGGCACGTAAAAGTCTCTCATTGTACGTTCCGTCCCGTGTATCGTGTGTACGCATACGCATCCTACTTCCTTCTGCACGTGTCCGTGTCCACACACGGACGCTCGTACAGCGTGACAGCGACGCGATCTCACATTCGAACGCGGGACAGGAAGCTTCTGCCTCCCTCGTACATCCACCGGGGACTGTTCCGCGCGCTCCCTCCCTTCTATCCTTTTTCCTTCTCGCCACACTCCACTCCTGCGCTCTCGTTCGCTCTCGAGGGCCCCGAAAAGAGACGCACAACAAAAATAATAAAAAGTGCTTCCTTCCGTTCCGTCTGTACATCTCGCATCTGGCCTTGAGCTCGCTCTCTCAATCTCTCATCTTATATCCAATCCTTTTCGTGACCCTCAAGCCCTTTTACCTTTTTACATAATATTTATGATATGTTTCCAGTAATCTATCAAATTTTCTTCTTTCAGGTGATTTTTGAACAATTCTTTAGCCTATCCTTTTCCCGACAGTATTTAATTTAAACTTATCAAAATCATTTTTTATTACTACTTTTGCAAATTTTTATCAAAGAATCACATATTCAAGGCTTAAAATTAATCACGAAAAAATATGTATGACCACTTTTGTTATTTTCTATTTTATATTCTAGTCCGCTAAATTTTTGATTGTTTTTTCTCGCACTCTTGAAATTCATTCTTGCCGAATTCTGTCTCTCTCGCCTTCCGACACTCGAGTCAAATATCTGGCGGTTTCTATCTTGTAAACAGCCGTACCTTCTGGTGCGCGTAACAACTGGCTGTCGGAGAATCTCTTTTATTATTCTGTGAGCTATCCTTGACGCTCCTTTCTCGTGTCAGACAGTAGCCTTATGGTACAATCTGCGAAACGGAGTCTTTAGGCGGGCACCAGTACCTGCGCAGATTCATGGATCATGATCGAACGGTGATTACATGGTCTGTGAAAGTTGTGGGGAACGAGCGATATTGAACTCCGATAAGGATTTTGATTTATTTCAGCATCAATCGCCTAAATAAATTGCCATACGTTAATAACAGGTAAATCGATAACAGTAAATTTTGAATTGTTTGAAAATTCAACATATGTTTACGGTCAAACATAAAAAAAATACGTAAAAAGACGCGCTAAAGATGTATTGTTTATATTCACCTTTTTCAAATTTTAGTGATAATTGTTGCCATCTTTTGTATATCGTATAACTTGAGTAAAACATCGTTTACGGCATTATGTGGAAAGGAAAAACAAGGGTGGAGAAATTTCGGAAACGCGCTGTCGCTTGTACGAAGGATCGGAAGGAATGAGAAGAGAAGGACAAAGGGAAGGATAGCATCATGATGGGGATGTGTACGAAGAGATGAGAGTAGGGGTGTATGAATGAGAGAGAGAGAGAGAGAGAGAGAGAGAGAGAGAGAGGAGGAGAGAGCGTCGAGAGGTAGTGGGCGGAAGTGGCCCGTTCAGGGAGGCTGGAACCACCTTGGCTTCCGCTATATTGAGCGCTAAGAATATACACAACCACCTTGTCCCACTCGCACTCTCACGTGGCACACGTGTTGTTGTCACTCGTCGCCCCCTCTTCGACATCGTTCTAAGGGTGGCTCGTCGCTTCTTTGCCTATCCAAAAAGAGAGAGAGAGGGGGAGACCGTCTAGAAAAAGATCTCTCGATGTCTTCACTTCTCTCTTCCTTCCTTCGTTTCGCCTTGTTTCAAACTCCCTCAACTTCCTATACTACTTCTCTCGGTTCCTTTTGACGCTCGGGAGAACTTCCGGAATTTCGCGCGGCCATTCAAAAGGAGTACACGGGCGAAGAAACGAAGTTCCGTTTATACTTCGCGGTCGAGACGGGAGCGCGAAATAAAGGACGGCGACTTCGCTTCCTTCCGCGCTTCACTTCTCTTCAGCCCGGTGCTCTTTGTCGATCGGCGCTTCTGTATTAACCGGAACCTCTCGCCGCCGAAAACAAAACCGTCGTGACGAGAGGAATCGTGGACCGAAGTTCTCTGTTGTTCCCGCCGTGCTTTGTCGTGAATTCACGAGACAGGAGTAGGGGATGACTTCCTGTTTACTTCTCACCACCGGTCGCCTCTTCATCGTCAGCCCGTCGCGACGTCGTTTCGATAAACGGCGAATCGATTAATTAAGCGTCATCGGGCTAAACATTCGTGCTATTAATTAAGAGGCAATGTACGTATCTTGACGAATGATCGGAGGGTGGTGAAGAGCACGCACGCGATCAACGAAGTTACGGTTCGTTACAGCGTGTCAGATGGTCAGTTTCACTAAATGGACTTGAATGCTCGCTAATGAAGGAACAGGCCGGATCACTTCCACGCCTCGTTCGTCTCGTCATTTTCTCGAAGTCCGAAATAATTGATTTTGAGCGGATGTTTTTTCAAATTTTTCCCCATCAGGGATAATAATTAATTTTTGGATATAAACGTTTCCGAAAAACATCACGTGCGTACCTAACATTTTTTTCGAATAAAAATATGGACAGATTTAACTATATTATACAAAATATGTGCCAGATTTGAAAGACTGCGATACAGTTTAAAAGTTAAAATTGCAGCAATCAATGGACATGCATGCAGCGTGAAAGAGACTGAAATCCAGACGAATTCTTGTCCTTGCGTTTAAAAGAGCTCTTTTTTTGTCCCGAAATAACACGGCATTCTTTGGCGTATGCGTAAAACACACGCAGCTACCGAAGGAGTGCAGGGAAGGACGTAAGACAGGCCGTTTACCTCGAAAGAGCCATACTTTGGGAAAGTTGACGTCGTCGCTGGCGCTCATACGTAATGCTAACAATAAAAGTTGACGCTCGTACTTTTATACGAGCGTCTCGCACGGACGTCGTGAATCGATATCGCGCGCGTGTTTCACTTAAATTTATAAATTTTGATGTGCTGCAGTGTGAATAAGTCACAATAAGTAATCAAACAAATCACGAAAAAACATGAACTCAAACATTGAAATAGATATATGCAGAATTTACTAACTATTATAAACAAAATGTAATACTATATAATATTAACCATATATAATATCAACCAAATAACGCGATTATTTTTTAAATTGTATTAGGCGATTACTTAAAGGAATGCCTCTTATGTCAATTTTCGACTAATAGTAGATTAACTTTAATCTTGGTTTATTTTTTTTATCTCTTTTTCTAATTTCTAGAATTAGAAGAACAAAAAGAGTAAGTTAAACCGAGCTTAAAATTAATCTATATTAGTAAAAATGAGCATTAGGAATTCTGGTCTTCAATCAGCGATAATTTTAATCATCTCGACGGTGTTTCTTCGTTTTAGACGGGAACACCCCGTAGGCGCGACGATATCGTGTCGGTGATTAAGGCGACAGAGCGCATGTATCGGCTGTTTTTACCATAACAATGGACGGTTCGTCACAGCCATAAAGGTAAGCGCGCGTACGCATTGTGTTCCACGGTTCCCACACGCGGCGCGTACGTGACGCG